CAATTTATCTCTTCTAAAAATTGCACAGTTGTAAGCTTTTGCTTCGTGGATTATTTAAGTGAATAGTGGACATAAACTAAATTGATTAGGCCAAACCACTTTAAAATTCTCGTGTTTTGGTTTTCTTTATTTTTAGTTGCTTGCTTTAATTTTACGTTTCAGTTACAGGAATCTTTTTTCAACAAGCGGTATTAGAGCCCATGATTCGTATTCTAGGAGACGGTAAGCTCTAGAGGAAGCCAGATTTAAGAGTAGATCGGCTACTGTCAGGCATCTCAATTTTCTAGAGGTATGTCTAAATTTGAGGTTCTTTTATTTGATAGTAAAATTAATTTTATGTGATGGCAAAGTACAATACAAGACCTTTTGTTACAACAAGGTCTTGATTAGGCATTAGAAGAGACTATGCCAGAGAAGATGTCTAATAGAGAATGGAATAGAATTCAGAGGAGAGCTGTCAATACAATCAAATTAGCTTTAGCTCCAGAGATAAAGTACAGCGTGCTCACTGAATCTACACCAAAGGGCTTGTGGGAAAAATTGGAGGGTATTTATACGTCGAAATCGTTGATTAACAGACTGTATTTGAAGATGGATCTATACTCTCTAAAAATGGATGAAGGTACGAGTCTCCATGATATTTAAATCAATTTAATAGGCTAGTCTCTCAATTATTGGCTATTTCTGATGAGTTAAAGGATGAAGAAAAGGCATTAACATTGTTGTCATCTTTGCCTAAATATTAAAGACCTTTAGTTCAAACTTTGTTGGTAGGCAAATCTACTTTAAAATTAGATGATGTGACTGCCTTGTTGCATGAGAATGAAAGGATTATGGGATCAGAGAACTCATCACTTAGAGGAGATTTATTAGTTGTAGATGGTTTTAATCGAAGGAGGACTCAAAAGTGAGGTGATAATTCAAAAGTCAGAGATTACAGTAATAAGAAGTGTTATTATTGTGGAGAGAAGTGACATATCCAACCCCACTGCAAGAAATTGTTGTGGAGAGAACACAACAGATTCGCCACCTTAGGTTGCAACAACATCACCTGTATGAGCAACTCTTTCGATTCAATTCTTGGTGGGAGCTTTTCTCTTTGTGACGATGAGAACAAAAAACGAGAAAATATGTGTTGTGGCGTCGAGTGTTGCCAAACTCCTATTCCTTCTTCTCTCAAGGTATTTATTGCCTTTGTGAAGTTTACTGCTGAACATCAGAGGGATGAATGCCTATACGCCTTTCTGGTGAACCAAAATTGGTTTGAAACCAACTTAAAGAATGCTCAAGATCTAGGTTTTAAAATCTGAACCGTGGGGTGACCCGGTTAGGTGGTCAGGTCACAGTTTAGGTGGTCAGACTGGTGACATTAGCATGATGACATCATCCATATCCCTCCCCATTATTTTTTTTCTTTTTTTCATCCATTATCCTTATCCCCCTCACCATTATCTTTTTTTTTTTCCATTCTTCACAACCCTGTCCCTCACCATCACCACCTCGATGGCTGGCCCAAGGGGTAAGCAGGTAAGGCACCTACCTAGGCCCCCCACAAAATAGGGCCAAAAAGGGCCCAAATTTTTTATAATTTTTTTAATACATTACAAAAATAAAAATAGTACATGATTTCTTGTCCAGGTTGGCCCAAGGGGCCCTAAAAAAAGCCAAAAAAGCTCAAATTTATTATAAACTTTTTACATATATTCCCACCCAAAGTTTGACAAAATAGTAAGTTTGTACCTCTAGTTTCGTATATTCCAATTTACACCCCTAAATTAACACATTGAATTTCTTTTAACAATAAAAGGTTAAAACGGTCATTTACATGTCTCAATCACAAAATTCGACATTCACATAAATCATCTCCACCCTACTTCCGTAGTTGGCCGTTTGGAGCTAATTCTGTTTGATTTTCTCACCAAAATCGATCGGAAACATCACTTTATCATTTCCCAAGTGTTTTCCCAGTGTTGATAGCCCTCGATTTGGCCAATCTTGAACAAATCTCGCAACCCAACTCCATTGTACACGACAGCCATTTTTGACCTTTTTGGCATGTACTCGGCGTCGTTGGCCTTCCCTAACACCACCATCTTCCTCCCTTCAACCCTCTCACCAAAACCCCTATCATACCTCATCCGTTTACTCCTCCAATCGCCGGCCATCGATATCTTTTGGGCTGCAACTTCTCAAGCCTTTTCCAGTCAATCCTGGCACTGGAAATCACCCATTTCACCACCCATCGTTTCTCCAGCATCTACTCTCCAAAACCCCTTACCAACCTGACCCCATTAGCTCACCAGTTGCCATCCACCTCTCCTAGTGATTTTGCATCTCAAAAGACAAGAAAAATAAATTTGAAATAATTTTTTTAATATATGCTTATATTATTAGAAGGCCCCCAAAGTAACTCTTGCCTAGAGTTACAAATGTTCTTGAGATGGCCTTGACCACCCCTCCCTTCCCCGTATTTCTTTTTTCTCACCAAAAAACAACCCAACCACATATATACAATATATCTCCAAAACTCAACCACCCCTTCACTTCCCTTTCCCACATATCTCCAAAACCAAGCCAAATGAAACACAACTAAACCAAAAAAACCCACATATCTCCACATTGGTTAGGATGGTGATGGATGTAAGAAGAAAGTGGATTGAATACATAAGGGGTGGCCAAAACAGTGAGGGTGGGGACGACAGTGAGGAGGTGGGAGGCGACAATGAGGGAAAGGGTGGTAAAGAAGAAGAAGAAGAAGAAAGCCTGATGAACAATGAAAATGCAGCTTGAAGATAGAAGAAGAACATAGATTCATGAATGAAGGAGAAAATAGAATGAAATTAGATTTGATATAAGGCTTTTTTAGTGGACCAGTTTTTCATCCGGGCTAGTTGGATCGGTGTTCTGACACTGTTATGGCGGACCGAAGTGATCCATTGCTAAATCCGAGTTTTATTATTTGTTGAACCGGAGTTATGTTCGAAACCCGATCGACCAATCCAGTTCAGGTTTCAAAATGCATCTCAAGATGTTATGAACATGTCACACATTCCTATGGGTTTGGATTAGGGGATATCCAGTTCAACGTTTTATTTGTTTGTATTATATAAAAAATCAAGATATAAGTTCAAATCTAGCTGTGAACTTTATGCAAAATTAAGAATAACATTTATCCTAATTCAATCCCAAGATCATATCAAAAGTCATTATTTCAATCACATTATGATAAACGAACTGCAACAATAGTTAATTATAGTATAAATACCTCTTATAGATACCCAAGTAGTTCTTCAAGTCTCACGTATTGTTAGAATGCAATTAGAGACTATTGTTCACTGATTTGTGAAAAAGGAAGAGAGAATAATGTTTGTGTATTGTAATTTTTTCTTCAAACTTCCCTTCAACTTGCATATAATTGATCAATAAAGCTACGGACATCGGGGATTTTGCACCGAAAATGTGTACCGGCTTACGTGTCCCCTTGACTCACATCAGTAATTCAAACATGTGATTAAACAATAAATATTTTTCTAGTGAACGGCCGTCCATCAAAGATGGACGGGCGTTCACTTACGTGGACTCCCATCCATATTATATGGACGAGGGTCCATTTACTACAAATGGGCATCCCCATTTAAAGGACACCCGTCCATCAGTAAAATAGAATAAAAAATTCTTATAAAAATTAAGGACGGCTGTTCATAGGTTGTGGACAGCCGTCCCTTCATTTTGGACGGAAGCTCGCAAATACGGGACGCTCGTCCATTAAGTTTGGATGGGCGTCCGTAAGGAATGGACGCCCGTCCAAACTTAATTTGGTTTAAAAAATAAAATAAAAAATTTGGACGCCCGTCCATAAATTATGGACAGGCGTCCTTTAAGTCTGGACGGGCGTCCGTAATCAAATGGACGCCCGTCCCTCATTGTGGTTTTAAAAAAACTAAAATAAAAGAACTTAGAAGTGTGGACAGGCGTCTATACATAATGGACAGGTGTCCATTATGTATGGACGGCAGTCCACACTTAAGGGACGACTGTCCCTTATGTAAATAGCAAATGGACAAGCTTTTAGTGTTATTTTCTCACCCAGACGATATTCGATTGCCTTCAGACTATGCAACTTAATTCTTTATGGAACGCGCTCATCTTCCTCCACTTTTCACTTCAATTGAAATCATATAAAACAGTCCATTCTCCCTTAAGATACCTATCATGGTGATGAGAGTATACTCATTAGAGCCAATTTCAGCAGCAGCAGCAACGGTTGCTCCAAGCCATTCCCATTCAGAAAATCATGAAACTTTAGTACCATTACAACTATACAATCTGTCAAAATCTACGTACAATTCCATCAAAATTGATTAGGCAAGAGCTTGGTTCTCCTTGCATCACCTATTATCAGTTTCAGAAACACGTGAGCTTTGATTAGTGGCTCATCTCCACAGAGACAAATGTGGAGACTTGACACAAAATAGGAAATATAATGGAATTAGCAACTCCCATTCTTGAAGTAATTCACTTACTAGATGACCGGACTATGAGTGAGTTCATCCTTGAAAAAAGACATAAAAAGCACTAGTAACAAACCATTTAGTACAGACTATATGAAATACACTAGTATGAGATAAAACCATTCGTTGATAACATATTACTCGCTTTCTTTTATAATTGTCATTACTGCAGGAATACAAGATTCTGAAATACTCTAAAAGGGGCATAAATTTTCACTATCCTCTTCCCTTCGAACCGCTGATGCTTCTAATTTCTAAATCGGCCAATCATCTGTGAATAACCAGACACAACATACTTGACAATAGTGTGTATTGAGACTATATGCAGTCAATGGCAGTACAGGAAGGGCACCAACATGGCAATAATGTTCTCGAGGTGTATCAGATCAAGTTCAAGCAAATATCCATTCCACATAACTCTACATCACAGTTTACAACACCAGTACGCATAGTGCTCATCTTTGCGATGGTTACTAACAAGGCCCCACACTATAAACAAATAAAGCTGCTTCCATCTGAATATGCATCCAACACAATTTGCATTCGACCAGTTTTAGCAAGTATAGAAGTTCCATCAGCATTAGTAGTAAGTGATGGAGCAACAACAGGACATGGTGCTGGTTCAACATTTAAAGGCTGAGCTTTGGCAATCACACATTCAGCAAATAAAGCAGCCAGTTGATATGCGGCTGTGTTTTCTTGCAGTCTACTTCTATACAATTCACGAGCGCGGTGAAGAGACAGAAACACAGCTTCCTCCCCACCTTTGGTTCTCATGGCCATCACCACCTGTTTCAAACATTAATTATAAACACGAATTTGTCCATTTGCTGTTTACATAAGGGACGGCCATCCCTTAAGTGTGGATTGCCATCCATACATAATGGGCGGGTGTCCATTAGTTATGGACACCGTCCACACTTCCAAGTTATTTTATTTTGGTTTTTTTAAAACCACAATAAGGGACAAGCGTCCATTTGGTTACGGACGCTCGTCCAAACTTAAGGGACGACCGTCCACAATTTATGGACGGGAGTCCAAATTTTTTATTTTATTTTTTAAATCAAATTAAGTTTGGACGGGCGTCCATTCCTTACGGACGCCTGTCCAAACGTAATGGATGGGAGTCCCGTATTTGCAGGTGCCTGTCCAAAATGAAGGGACAGCCGTTCATAACCTATGAACGATCGTCCTTAATTTTTATAAGAATTTTTTATTCTATTTTGCTGATGGACGGGCGTCCTTTAAATGGGGACGTCCGTCTATAGTAAATGGACCCCTGTCCATATAATATGGATGGGAGTCCACGTAAATGAACGGTCGTCCATATTTGATGGACGACCGTTCACTAGAAAAATATTTATTGTTTAATCACGCATCTGAATTGCTGGTGTGAGTCAGGAGGATACGTAGGCCAGTACACATTTTCGGTGCAAAAACCCTGGTGTCCGTAGCTTTATTGATAATTGATTAGGAAAGTTGTGTGTGGTAACTGCCAATTAATATTGTATACGGGTGGGTCCCATCATGGGTGTCCCACCCATATCCAGTACAAACTTTACCTCTTCCCTGCCAACTCTTCTATAGTACCTCATTGTAAATGCAATCAGGACTTCAAAGGAAATCCCTTATCTTTTCTTTGGATGTCAAGGTAAATTTCTAACATTAATGTAGTGTATTAAATTCCGACGACATGAAAAAACTTATTAAATAAAAAAACAAATTAACACATTATGATAGATTAAATGTATAAATTCATTGTAAATAATCAACTTCAAATAGAAGTTATGAGGTCATTGTTAAAGTTTTTTTTTTTTTTTTTCAATTTTCTTTATTTTTATATGAATAGATTTACATGGTACATGTGAAATGAAAAAAGAAAATTTTATATAATAAGTTTTAGTAATTATAAAAGTATATAATAAATATTTTTTTCAAATTAAAGTATGTTGAAGACGAGCCAGTACGGGTAGTATTGGCCGCAGTCTTTAAAGAAATGACACCAGTCCTAAGTCATTAGAATAACTTAACACCGAGTCTAATTTCAATAGGCTCGATCAAATTTTTAATATTTTTTTATTTTGTTTCTTGTTTTCTTTTCTTTTTTAATTTTTTGGATTGTTTCTAGAATTTATTTATATCCCAACTTAAAATCCAGGACTGTGTCACACGGAAGGTGGAAGGATTGTGTTAATGTAGAGAATTTGGGATGGAGGCTATGCATCAGCGAGAAGACTGATGTGAACTGTGTCAATGTATGGGTGATGAAAGAGTATGGAAAGGGAGAGTCTTGGTATAAATTGCACTCGTTTAAGATAATGGAAGATTGTTGGTTTCTTCATTATGGAAATTTGCATTATCCAAGAATGGAGACAAAACTCTGTGATGATGATGTGGCTTGAAACTGCCACGGTAGAGTCAACTTCAGTCAAAGGAAATGGATTTAAGTTTAAGCTGATGCGGTGTCGTTTTGGATATCAAAGATAAGTGCCTACCTACAGCACACGCATCTCATTTCGTTGCAACAAACTCACAGCTCACCCCTTTTCTTTTCCTGGTTCCTTCTCAGCCCTAACGACAGAAGATTCTAGTGCTCTGCTCTAACAAACTGCAGATCTTAGAGGACAGCTGGAAGATGATCAATGGGGTCTTGATGTGTATAAATTTCTGACCATTTTGTGCGAATACAAAGGGTGTAGAGAGAGGGCTGAAACGGGTGTGTTCTTTCTTGTTATTCTTTGATTGTTTACTCTTTGTAACCTTTGGTTCTCTTGATTAATGAAATATCCTATAGTGTGCCTTGAAGAGTGGATGTAGGCTTCCTTAGCCGAACCACTATAAATCCCCTGTGTCAATTGTTTTTCTGTTTAGTTTCATGCTTTATTTAATCTTTGATTCTATTGCTTGATAAGATTGTGTTTGCTCACTGATTGATTTGATTAGCATAGTTGAAAGCCCTAATTAGTCACTACAAATTGGTATTAGTGCCTAGTTCGAATCTTAATTAGGGTTATTTGAAATTCATTTTTTGTCGTTGAAAATCTTATTCCAAAAACATGTCCACTAAATTTGAACTCGAAAAGTTTACAGGGGACAATGATTTTGGACTCTGGAAGATGAAAAAGGAAGCTGTGCTGATTAAAAAGGGACTGACATTAGCTCTAAAAGGAGAATCTGAGCTGCCTAAGACCTTGACTGAAGCGGAGAAGCAGGATGTGCTCAACAAAGCTAAGAGCTCCTTGATCCTTGGACTGGGTGACAAAGTCCCGCGGGAAGTGAAGAAGGAGAAAACTGCTGCTGAGATCTGGAGCAGGTTAGATTCTCTGTACCAATCTAAAGTTGTTCCTAATAGATTGTATTTAAAACAAAGATTGTTTGGGTTTAAAATGGATGAGCAGAAATCTTTAAAAGACAATAAGGACGAGTTTCTGAAACTTATACAGGATTTAGAAAGCATATCAGTAGAGGTTGATAATGAAGATCAGGTTGTAATTCTTCGAAATTCCCTACCTAAACCTTACTCCAATTTTGTAGAAACATTAAAATATGGTAGGCAGACACTTAAATTATAAGAGGTTGTAGAAGCAATCACAACTAAGGATAGAGAGAACAGAATGACATTAGGCAGTGATGGGGAAGGTCTCATGATAAGGGGTAAATCAGAAAAGAGAAACTGGAAAAAAGGGGGACAAAATAGGAATAGATCTAAGTCCAAAACTGGGAAGTGGAAGTGTTTTTTCTGTCACAAAGAAGGGCATCTTAGGAGGGACTGTCCTGAGAGAAAAAAAAAATAAGAAAAAGCATGGAAAAGAGGAAGAAGAGGGTAGTGCTAGTGTTGTGTCTGAAGGTTATGAAAGTTCTGAAGTATTAGTCATCTCTGAAGGTAGAAACAGTGAAGAATAGATCTTAGACACAGGATGTACCTACCACATGACACCAAATAGGAAGTGGTTTAGCTCTTTTCAAACTATAGATGGTGGAAAGGTTGTGATGGGAAATAATACAGTACGTGGCATTAAGGGCATAGGTACAGTTAAGCTGAGCCTGCACAATGGCCTAACCAAAACTCTCACCGATGTAAGATACATCCCTGACCTCAAGAGGAATCTAATATCACTAGGTACCCTAGACTCAATAAGACTAAGTTACAAAGCTTCAAGTGGAAGTCTTAGTGTAATGAAAGGGTCATTAATAGTGATGAAAGGTGAAAAGAAAAATGGTCTCCATGTGTTAAAGGGTAGGACAGATTATGGCATAGCTGCTGTAGGGTCTCCAGTAACACAGGATAAAACCTCACTGTGGCATCAAAGGTTGGCACATGTTAGTGAAAGAGGGTTAGATGAGTTGAGTAAACAGAACCTGTTAGGAGGGGATCAAACTGGAAACTTAACCTTCTGTGAACACTGTATTTTTGGCAAAATGTGCAAGGTAAAATTTGGATCTGGTAAGCATTACTCAAGCTCACCACTTGATTATGTTCACTCAGATGTATGGGGACCAGCTAGACACTACTTACTAGGGGGCTGTAGGCATTTCATTAACTTTGTGGATGATTATTCTAGGCATGTCTGAATTTATTTTCTGAAGACTAAGGATGAGGCATTTCTTAGGTTTAAGGAATGGAAAATAATGGTTGAAACTCAATCTGGGAAGAAACTTAAAAGGCTTAGGACGGATAATGGTCTTGAGTTTGTGAATAATGAATTCAATAGTTTCTGTAAGAACCATGGAATTGTTAGGCACAAAACTGTTAGAAATACCCCACAACAGAATGGCCTCTGTGAAAGAATGAATAGGACCATCCTAGACAAAGTTAGGAGCATCCTATCAAACTCTAAGCTACCTGTAAAATTTTGGGCAGAAGCTGCACATACTGTGGTGTATTTGATTAATAGAACCCCTTCATCTGCCATAGGTTTCAAGGTGCCCTTAGAAAAATGGACTGGACACCCTATAAAGCTAGAGAACTTAAGAGTTTTCGGATGTCTATCTTATGTTCATGTAAAGGATGATAAGCTGAAACCTAGAGCTGTAAAGTGTCTGTTTCTTAGATATCCAGAGGGAGTAAAAGGTTATAAGTTCTGGAATCTAGAAACCAAGAAGTGTATAATTAGTAGAGATGTGGTTTTTAGGGAAGAAGTCCTTCCTGGACTAGAATGTGAACCTGGAAAATCTGTTGATAGTGGCTCAGGATCAAAATCAGTTGATAGTGACTCAGGATCAGATCTTCTAGAACTGGAAATTCAGGATGTAGTTACTAATCATTAAGGTGGAGTTGATGAGACAGAGGAGAATCCTGAAAATCCTAATATAGATGAGTTGGATGAACAAAGAGAAGAGGAACCAGACTTGACAAACTATCAGCTAGCTAGGGATAGGTCTAGGAGAGTCATTAAACCTCCCAACAGACTAGGATATGTAGATCTGGTTGCTTATGCATTTCAGGTAGAAGAAGAACTGAATGATGAGCATAAAACATTTCAGGAAGCTATATTAGGACCTGATAAAACTGAGTGGAAAAGGGCAATCGAGGATGAATTCAGTTCCTTAATGAAAAACAATACCTGGACCCTAGTTGATAAACCAGAAAACTACAGGGTGGTTAAGTGCAAGTGGATTTTCAAAAGGAAACCAGGTCTAACCTCAAAAGATTCACCTAGGTATAACGCTAGACTGGTTGCAAAGGGATTTACTCAAGTGGAAGGCATAGACTACAATGAAATATTCTCCCCGGTTGTACAGCATACATCAATCAGAATTCTGATTTCTTTGGTTGTACAGTTCAATCTGGAACTGGAGCAACTTGATGTAAAAACAACCTTTTTACATGGTGACTTGGAAGAGAATATTCTGATGGAACAGCCAGAGGGATATTCAGGACCAGCAGGTAAAGTTTGTCTTTTAGAAAATCACTTTATGGCCTAAAACAATCACCACGACAGTGGTATAAGAAATTTGATTCTTTTATGATTGAAATTGGATTTAATAGATGTCAATTTGATAGCTGTTTTTATTTTAAAAGAAATTCTGATTTGTCTTATACTTATTTGTTGCTTTATGTGGATGACATGTTGGTTGCTTGCCATGACAAAACTGAGATTATTCGATTGAAGAAAATTCTCAATACCAACTTTGAAATGAAGAAGCTGGGTCAGGCTCAAAAGATTCTTGGTATTACCATTATAAGAGACAGAATGCAGGGAAGATTGAAGCTGGTTCAAGAAGAATATGCAGAGAAAATTCTACAGAAATTCAATATGTAGAATGCTAAGGCTGTCCCAACTCCCCTAGGGCAGCACATAAAACTTTCCCATGATCAGTGCCTGAAAACAGAAGAAGAGCAAAAGGAAATGTCCACTATTCCATATGCAAATGCTCTGGGCAGTCTAATACCTAATGGTTTGCACCAGGCCAGATTTGGCATATTCTGTGAGTTTAGTAAGTAGATTCATGAGTAATCCGAGAAGACTCCATTGGTCTGCACTTAAATGGATTTTGAGATACTTACAAGGATCAAAATCTGTGGGCATAGTTTTTAGTAAGAACAAGGAAGAAAAATAATGCATTAGAGGTTATGTTGATGCTGATTATGCAG